TAGGCTCAGTCTCCAGCCGTCGGGATTTCGTGCGCCCGCGATACTCTCTCCCCTGACGGCTGGGCGCATGAGGTTCGCTATTGTCAGTCTTGACCAATCAGCGAGTGGCCCCCGATATTTTGAGGGGCATATCATTAATAAATTAGCAGGCAGCAGTGTAACAAAATGGCGTACAATTCGTCGTTTGAGATTCTCTTTGAAAGTGCTTGTTTGAAGGCTCTGAAGTCGTTTAGCTTGGACGAATTTAGAGAAATACAGCAAAAGGCTCTTAAAGAGATTGTTCTTGGAAAAGATGTCCTTGTTATTCTTCCTATACTGGCTCGGGCAAATCTCTTATTTTTCAAACAGCGCCACTAGTGTATTTTGCTCGTTTTTCTGGCAGATAATACATCCATTTGGATTATTAAACCCTGCACATGTTTTACTTGGGGTAATTTCCATTCCTTTCTCTTTTTTAAAGCGCTAACTATTACATTATATCGCTACTTCGCGAAGTTTTCATTTCACATAATTTCCCGCCTTGTAGCAAAACCTTTACGGCTGTTGTCAGATATTTCACTTCCGTTCACTGAAAAATTCACTTCCGTTACGTCATAATATGCTAATTACACAAAAAGGTCACGGACATGCGCGACACGTTTCGAACCCCATGAGCCCAGCCGTCAGGGGAGAGAGTATCGCGAGCGCACGAAATCCCGACGGCTGGAGACTGAGCCTAGGGTTTGGCCTGACCCGTCCTTTTCCATAAACTCTTCCCGCTAGAGCTACAAGTGTTTGGGCGCTTTACCAACTTGACCACGAGGGGATTACGTAGCCTGCGTAGCGGCCCTTAAGGGATTGGTGAGGGCCGAGCGGAGAATATTTTCCTCCCTACTCCCTGCTCGGCCTGCCCTCCCCAATCTGCAGGCTAGGGATCACGCCGAATGCGCTACAAGCAATTTTTGTGACATTTAAAAGTATCTCGTACTGCAAACAATTAGCTGAATTAGAGTCCATTGGGGACCAGTATACGCTTTTTACCATATATGCCAAACCTATCGAAAATCAATTGTCTATGTAAAGCATTTAGCTGGACATGCATACATTCCCAAGATGTTAGTTCTGCAGAATCAAAGCGAGGTTTTGGCTACATTTAGGTCGTAACATTTCCAAGTGTTCACAATGGAAAATTGCTGAGCGAGCAAAAATCAAAGGGAAAAGTTGTATTCTACTATTCGTTATGCCTATTCAGGAATTTTCGTCGAAGGAGTCAAGAGAACTTTCAAAAGACACCACTAGATAAATCGTTATGAAAACTGTGGATGCAGTGCCTAAAAACCATTCGACAGAAATAGAATCTAACTGAAAACATGTTAATTTGTAGTAAACACTTTGCAGCCAAAATATGATTATCACTAAACTTAACGTTATTGCTTGCACAGCAGGGGAAAGAGCAGTGGCTGCGTAGCTATCGACAAGTTTTGCAGAATATGTAATGAAAGCAGATAGGTAATATACCTTTACCAATTCTCTGCACTCAGGGCATTCAATCCGTTCTTCAATACGCGATACCCTGAAAAGATCGTCCAAGCACTGCTTACAGTAGGTATGGCCACATGGCAACAGTCGTGGGTCTCTAAAATGCTCATGGCAGATGGCACATGTAACTTGGTCCTCAAGAAATCTTACATGTGACGAATCGGACATGACCAACTTGTCAAAAAAGAATATTATTTATATTAAGTATAGAGCGCAAACACGAAATAAAACGTAACTGAATAGTATTGAGTGCAATGTACAGACAATAGGAAAAAAATGAATTTTCGTTCCAACTTAATGACCTCAATTACTTATGTTTTTTTTCTGGATTTTCAGCTAGACTTGCTTTCACTCCAGCGAGTTCACAAAGAATGGTATAGAACACTGAATCATACTCTTATTTTTTTCCAAAATGGCGGTTCTAGGTAGCATAAGTTTTTTGTGTTATTTAAATAAAGCTAAGAGTTTCCATGGAAACTTGCTAAAAACGGCTACCATTTTGCAAATATACGCCTTCAACAGAAAGTCAAATGATCAAGAAGGCACCCTGCATGGACACGGTTAAATCGACCGAACTAGAACGAAATCATTAGACATATACCCTTATAAGGCTTATTACACCTTAACAAAAACGTTTCAGAATTACGCTGTCATGGACAGCATGCAAAAAAGCAAATAATTAATAATCCATTAGAATCTACATCTTACATTTCATCTTTTTCAAGAAATTTGTCTGTAATCAGTTTTTTGTATATATGAAGAATTTAATTTTCGTTTTTTCAATGAAAATTACGAAGAATCTCATTTCCGCTATTACTTAAATTCAGCAGCCAGTCGCCATCCTGATGAACTGACTGATACAACATGTCTAGCTTCCCGATATATTGTACGTATAATACACTGAAAAAATACTCGCATTAATTGTTTTATACTGTACCTTAATATGATTGTTGAAGGATCGATATTTTCGTTCGGTTCTTACTGACTCTCAGGCTCAAAGGTGGTCACGTGGTGGCTATATTCATCGTGGAAACATGAATAGTTTTACTTTATATGACGTACTTCCGTTCATCTTGATGAACGGAAGTAAGGTAGACACTAGACAGGGAAGGAAGTGGATAGGGAAGCAGAACGGAATGAGTTTTTTTATTCTGCTTCCTTCCTTCCGTTTCCCCACACTTCTCTGTCCGTTTGCTGGTTTTCATATATACAGGCGTATGAGCCTGGTTTATTTAGCAATGCAGAGAATGAGATGGGAAAGGAGAAAAGATACTTACGTAACGGAATGGAAGGAATCTATTGATACATGAGTAAGCCTATTTAGCAATGCAAAGAATGAGACAGAAAATATACTTCCGCGCGTCCGTACGTATTTGCATAGCAGAAACGAGGGAATTTATCACATCGGCTAAGCTTTTTCTTCAATTTGCTAGCAAAAGCAAGGCTTTATCAGTTATTTCGTTTTTGGGAATGTTGTTTCTATCTTACTTGGGAGATTGTTGTATTTTTTTAACAAAGAATAGAATTCAAGTAAAACAAGAAAACAAATTATACTGTCGTACCAGGGATCCGTCTATAAATCCGATTGAAGAGTCGAAACCCACTCGTTCTGCTTAGGTCAGTGTATTTCGACACTCATGAAGTTGTCGTTTAACGAAAAGATGAACTGATCGAGAGCATATTGGCTTGGCAGTGGTATTAGCTCTCAAGAGAATTAAAAGTAACAACAAAAACGCATAAGTGTTGAGTCAGTGTTGACGAAGCCAAAACCCGCCCAGGCAACGTACGTAA